TAGGCATTATTTATATATAGTTATTTATTATTAATATTTTGCTTAGTCACCTGCCACCTTCATCTCTGCACCACCTTAAGGTCGACTGTAAGACAATGCCAAGGCATTAAGTCCATGGACTTATGTTTTTGTACTAAGTCTAAATAAAAAATAACTTGGTAAGCTGCCACATACCTTCCAATTCCTCAGGGTAGCCAATAGACATGTTATCTTCATGGTCGATTCCTCCGGAGTGCTCACTCATGTCATCCTTCGGTTCTATCTTGAGTTCAATGTCTATTTGTGGCTTGTGTGCCTTCGGCTCTGTGAATAAAGATAAATGGGAAGAAAATTTATATGTATACTAATATTATAAAGCTGAAGAGTTTGTTTTTTTGTTTGAACGCGCTAATCTCCGAAACTACTGGTCCGATTTGAAAAATTCTTTTTGTGTTGGATAGCGCATTTATCGAGTAAGGCTATAGGCTATAAAATATCACGCTACGATTAATAGACGCCAAGCAGAGCGAGTGAAACCGCGCGGGAGTAGCTAGTTTGTAATACATGTCGTAGCAAATCTGGCAGCTTCAGTATGCACAAGCGCAGTCTGCTCTCTGATGCCCAGACAAAAAAATACATATTAAGATTAACTTTTTGTAATCAGAATCAGAATCAGAATCAGAATCATTTATTTGTTAAACATAGGTAGTTTACATAATAAGGTCTTACATATAAAGATAGTCCACTATGTTTTGCCGTGATAGACATACAAATATATTAGGTACATGCATTTGAACATTATTAAAATATTACAATTTCAGTTAAATTTGTACAATAATAATAAAATAATAAAAATAAGGTATGTCAAAATTATGTCAATTAAAATTATCAAATTTATCAGGAAATACATTAAAATTGTCAAGAAAAAATTGAAATTGTCAAGAAATAAATTAAATTTGTCAAAAAATATTATCATTAAGGAATTCTTCAATTGAGTAATAGCATTTGTTTAATAATAATTTATTGAGAATACTTTTAAATCTAATTACTGTTGTATTTTTTATTTCATTGGGAATCTTATTATAAATTCTAGGGGCATTACCAAACAAACTTTTGTACATAAGTGCTGTTTTACATTTTACTTGGCTTAGTTTATTAATATATTGGGTGCGTAAGGGAACATTCCTGCCTGAGCTCAATTTTGGAAATAAGTGAGGATTTTGTTTTACAAATACAGCTGTTTCCAGTATATACATGGAGGGCAATGTTAATATTTTTAGTGATTTGAAGTGTGCAATACAGCTGTCTGTGGTCTTCAGACCACACATTGACCTTAAACATCTTTTTTGCATTCTAAACACAAGCTCTCTATCTGTAGACTGCCCCCAAAATATAATGCCATAGCGTAATACCGAGGCAACGAATCCATGGTATGCTGCAAGAAGAGCCTGAAGGTTTACTTTTTTTGAAAGTTGGAAAAGCGCGTATGCGGATTTACTTAACCTTTTACATAACTCCTCAACATGAGGCTTCCAGCTGAGGACGTCGTCAATGACTATACCCAAGAACTTGGTTTTATTTGCTTGCTCGATACAACGGTTTTCATACGCGATTTTAATATTGTCTTGATGACGACGCTGATGAAAGTGCATAACCTTTGTTTTGTTTAAGTTAATTACTAAATTATTTTTGTTAAGCCAATTGATGATATCATATAAGCATTTATTGATCTCATTTTCATAGTCGAGTTCATTTTTACATTTTATGATGACTGTACTGTCGTCTGCAAATAGGACCATTTTGTGTGATGTAGTTTTCGGTAAATCATTAATATATATCAGAAAAAGTAACGGCCCAAGAACGCTGCCCTGAGGGACGCCATATTTAATATGTCTTCGTTTTGATAAATATGTCGTTTCTAGCTTACTCCTCGGACATAGCCTACTGATCTCCGTATACTGAATTCTGTCGCTGAGGTACGATTTCAAAAGTTGAAGGACGTTTCCTCGGACACCATAACTGTGTAATTTATTTAACAAGATATTGTGATCCACATAATCAAAGGCTTTAGTCATATCCGTGTATATTGCGCAAACTGGATTTCTTTTATCTACTGATGTTACAATATCGTCTAGGAAGTCAAATACCGCCATGTTTACTGTAGTGTTTTTCCGAAATCCCTTCTGCTCGTCACAAAATAAGTGGTATTTATCAAAATAGTCATACAGGGAGTTATATATAACTTTCTCTATAATCTTTGAGAGTATAGGTATCTTAGCAATTGGCCTATAATTTTTTAAACATGTTTTACTATCCCTTTTATGTAGTGGTTTTATAATTGTATTTTTTAGTTTTATTGGAAATATTCCATCTGTTATACACATGTTAATTATGTGTGCTAGATGTGGGGCTATTATTTCTTTTACGTGTTTAATAGCTTTTGTCGACGTTCCGTCATATCCTACCGTATTAGTATTTTTAAGATTACATATTATATTAATTATGTCTTTATCTGTTACTGATTGCATAAATAGTGAATTAGATGTCCAATTTATAGAATTATTATTATAAGAATTAATGTCATTATTAATATTATTTTCAATTTCATCAACAAAATAATTATTAAATTCATCAGCAATATCTTCTGGGTGCGTTACCACATCATCACCTTTTTCTAAGCATATTATTGACTCTCGTGGCATGCACAACTTTGACTTATTTATTATTTGCCAAGTAGCCTTCGATTTGTTTTGAGAGGTATGTATAAGTAAAGGTATGTGTAAATCGTCAGTATTACCACAGATTGTAGAATTGTGTCTGATGTATGGTAATAGCCATTTTGTTATTTTTATAAAGGGGGGAAAATCATCCGATGACTTCCCCCGCCCGGGTGAGGCGGGAGGGAGTGTCAGACTCTTACTAACTACAAAGGAACGGGATGGCCGTTCCTTCCTACTCCTGCACTTCGAGCCGGAGCCCCGTCAACCTGTTAAGTATCTCCGCGGCTCCGTATCGGCATCGGCCCAAATTGGCCCCATCTGTGGTGGTCTGGTGGCTCTTTGAGGAACGCGACGCGCCGTACGCACGGGTCTGGTTTTGGACGGGCGGCGAGTTACTCGCTCTCGCCGTGCGCTGGCCTGTGCTTACGGTGGCCGGAGATCATCTACCGACGGTGATAGGCTCGCATCTTATCTATAACATGGGACTCATACTACATAATATGTGGAAAATGATTTTCCCTTATTGTCCACTTCTGCATTTTAATGATTCAAGTAATGAGTTTTTTATAGAAGAAGCCGGTAAACGGGCAGACGGATTACCTGATGGTAAGCAATCGGCGTCGCCCATGGACACCGGAAACACTAGTGGCGTTACAAGTGCGTTACCTACCTTATGGGGATTAGGAATTTGAGGATTATTGGGGATTGAGGTCTTGGGCCTCCGGTAACCTCACTCGCACGACGTAACATAACGCAACTGTCGTTTCACGTCGGTTTTTTGCTCGGCCGGCCCATTCGTGGCGAAGCATAGCACTCCCATATTTACAGCCAATAATTTAACAATTTAAATGATAATACCTTCCAAAGCGTCCTTCTCCTCCTTATCCTCAAGTTTAGCGCTGAGGAACAGCTCCTCGCACTGCAGCACCTGCTGCCTGAAGGCACAAGCATCTCGGAGACGCACCACACACGTTGCACACACTCCACTGTCTTTCTCATTGTCATCTACATGCGATAGCTGGAATAGAAAATGTCATTATTATATTTTTGTATAGTTATTTGGCTAGCTCATATAAATGTACTAGCTGCTTCAGCGCGATTTCGCACTCTCTACTCGGCGCCTATCAATACATAGTATAAAACAAAGTCGCTTTCGCTGTATGTCCGTATGTATGCTTAGATCTTTAAAACTACGCAACGGATTTTGATGCGGTTTTTTTTAATAGATAGAGTGATTCTTAAGGAAGGTTTGTATGTATATACATATTGCACCCGTGCGAAGCCGGGGCGGGTCGCTAGTATATAATAAGCGTTGAGCAGAGCTGGTGAAACCACACAGAAGTAGCTAGTACTGTATACGTGTAATTGGGTACTTTCATTAATCAAAAATAAATTATTTCGACTGTTCAATACAATAAAATATTCAAAAATAATTACACTTAGTATTTTTCCAGCAATTTTTTAAGAAATAAGTATGCTTTTGTCTCTAAAAAAACGTGACGTCACAATATTTATTTTTTATTTTTTTTTAATAACGTTGCCCCACACTAGGATTATCTCCTGTGTCGTGGGTGCATTTACAAACATACAAGTTCACATACACACGACACCCAGACCCGAAACAACAATTTGTGGATCACACAAAGTGTTGTTTCGTGCGGGAATCGAACCCGCGACACGTTGCACGGCAGCCGGTTGCCCAGCCACCTCACCAACCGTGTAGGCACAATACACAATCTCGTACAAAATTCATAGAAAACTGTCGTTTTTGACAGTTCGAAAAAAGTATTGAATTTGACTAGTTGGCGAGTACCCAATTGTGTACACCTGTCTACTCCTTGAAACATTTCAGATATATAACATCATAACATAATATCACGCCTTTTATCCCCGAAAGGGTAGACAGAAGAGCACATCATGTCACTGTACAACGTAACTCCCACTTTTAACTATTTATGTTACGAGTCCCTTTTAACACTAGAAAGACGGAAAAAATCATCTACCTACAAAGACGGCGAGCGGTCAAATGACTGCTCCAAGTTTTTTTAATATTTTTTTATGTTTAAGTGCTAGAAATGGTACCTATAGTATTAAACATGGTGTAATATACTGTTATTTAAGTAATATGTATAGAATTTCTAATTTTATCATTTTGTTTACATTACAAAAACCGCAGTGGCTTTTTGCAATTGTCGCATTCTTTATGGGTTTTTTATTTGCATTTATCTATATAATATTTTGGAATTTACTGGATTTTGTGCAGAAGATTGTGAAGTAAAAGATCTAGACTATTCAGGCAAGGATTCAGTTTCAGAGAGTCTTCTTCAATTTATACTTTGCTTCTAAGTTCACCCCCTGAATTTAGTATAAATAGCCTTTGTTTCATGTAATATTCTACATTTTCCTATACCAAATGAACGAATTATATCTAAAAAAGTAAATTATGTAAATTATGTTATATCTTTGCTAGGTCTCAAATATAAAAAAAAATCTATTTCACCTTTGAGATGTTCGTAATATTTTGACAAGTATTTGCAAAAAGTTTCACAAGACGCATGTATCAACGGATTCATCGACATTTGACCACTTAGAGTAGATGCCATTTGAGGTGTGTACAAGATACAGTCGATAGTTGTGAAAAGACCTTGATGCTCAGGATCTTCCAAACTCCTTTCACAGCCTTTATCACTACCACAGCAACGACTACAACCACGAGAATCCGATCTGTCAACGTCTGATAAATTTGCTCGAAGTATCTGGTCTTTCAGGTCACTTCCGTCCGTAGAGGAATTCGAACTGCCAAGTAGTACCATATAATCGTCGTCGCTATCACGTTTTGTATTTTTAGAGTCAAAATCAGACTCATCTTCACAAATATTTTGGAAGTAAAAAACATTTTTTCATTTTCAAGACTCCAACACGTCGCGACCACAAACTAATTTCAATAATTTCGTATAAGTTCACAGACACTTGAAATGATACGGTCTCATTTGATAAGCAAACTATAAACAATGAATTAGTGTATATAATTTGTATTCTACCCTCTCATATTACACTTATAAACACTCATTGGTTGTCAGCAGTCAAATGACTGCCGCCGTCTTTGTCGGTAGATCAAGATTTTAAATAATTAATAAAAGAGTTGTGATTTATTTTCATACATAGTTGCATTTTACTAGTAAAATAAATAAAAGTCACAAAGTCTCAGTTTAAAAACTCAAGTAGATTTCAAGTTATTCAACATTTAAAATCAAATTGCGGTCAAATGACTGCTCCCGTCTTTCTAGTGTTAATAGGGGGTGAGCGTATTGCCATATACCGGGCACAATTCCAGACTCCGTGTCAATACTGATATTGTTTTTTTAAAACCCATTAATACTTTGCCCGACCCTGAAATCGAACCCGAGACCTCTTGCCCAGGGCACTGTGACCACTCGGCCAAAGAGGCAGTCATTTTAACATTTTTTATTATAATAATAATATTTAAACTGTCAAACATCAAGCGGACACCGGTGTCCGCTACCTATTGTTCTATAATTGTGTCTATAATGACGGTTATTGACGAGTTAATATTCTTCACTTTTTTTTAATATTGCAGTAAATATGGGAAGTTATGTTGATCTTATTGTAAGTAAGTAAACATGAGAGCTTCAGTGATGGTTACAGGGAGATATGTAACTGGTTAAGGTAAAAGGCACAGTAATAAATGATTACTACTGGGCCACCAAGATAAGCTGTCTCTAGTTTGGGGCCCACAGTTACCTCTGCCGTGTTTATGTTTATATGAATGTGTTTGCTTCCATATCTGCATGTAGTGTAAGTGGTGTATGCAAATAAATAAATTTTAATTATAATTCAATTTAAATAAAACAGAAACTAAAACTGTTGTTAAGCATTTGAATTTTGTAAGAATGTAGTTTGTTCCTAACACTTCTTGTAACTTAATATTTAATAGTTTACTAACTACATAGTGCCCTTTATTTTAGCTGCAAGTTAACTATAGAAAATTTAAATTTAAGGCAATATAATTAGAAAAGTAAAAGTAAACACAAAAGAAATCATAATAATGAATGACCATTTAAGTTTCGAATGCACATTCCATAGTGTAAAAAGTTATATTTTTCACTGACCAAGATCCCAAAGCAGTCCATGATCATATCGGCGTACACTTCCTTCTGCTCCATCCAAGTATATTCCGCTGTGAGAATACGACATTTTTTTATAGCCCTACAGCAGCGACATAACGCTGGGTCTATTATTGGCCCATTATTCTTGACTGTAGCCATTTTTGTACGATTTAATCTTTGCGATTTAAAAAGATCACAATTTCAGCATTATTTACATTCGGCATTTATCATATTTTTGTTATTTTATGTAATTTTTATTGAAGAATGCTTTCGCAAAATAGTTTCACGACAAATCGTCAGTCGTCTTGGCTCTTGTCAACATTATAGACCTATTATAGAGTAAAAAAATGTCAATAACTGTTTGGTGGGAGCGTTTAGTTAGTTCTGATCGCAGTGTAATATGTTATAATAGGAAAAACTTAAATTGAGATCCATATATGTCATCATTAAGCCAATTTAAATATAAACAATCGCGATAAATTATTAAACTGACCACATAAAAATTGACTAAGATTTCTTTTAAAATGGAACACCAAGAGCCAAAGACACCATAGATTGACTGATTAACAAAACGTAGGACGCGGCTTTTGGCTTTATCTTTGGTGTAAAATGGCGGTGTTTCATTGAATGAAAGAATATTTTACCGTATATTGTGCTAAATCGCAATCATGTCGGAGGATAAAACTGAAGTGGAGACGTTTTTTGGAAGATGTAGATGTTGCCTCACATATGGCTACTTAAAAAACATGTGGTTAGAACATAAATACAATGGAAATCCAGAAATATACGGTGAAATGCTTGCCAAATGTTTTGCGTTGACTGTGAGTATTTTTCTTCTTGCTTTAGTTATGAGGCTATTTGCTCAACATTCTTGATTTTTACCTTTGTTCCAAATCTGAATTTCAAAATAATATCGGGATTTTGCATTCCCGCCTTAGTTAGTTGTTAATTTTGTTAGTTTTAATTGTTTTAACTAGATAAAATGACAAAATTGATAAGGCGTCCCTACTGCGTATTTATGTTGCAACGTACGTCATAATTCAAACGTGTGACCCGATTACACTACAAAAATGATTTAGGTACTTGAAAGTATAATAAAACTATAATCTAGTCCGATAAATTTAACTTTTTCATAATTTTCTTTTTTATTCACTTGCAAAGCTTCCAAGGATTAACTAACCAAAATACAAGCATGTTATCTTTTTATAATTCCAGACTAAGAAAATTGACTAGGTACCTATTTTCATAAAATTAATTAGGTACTATGAAATTTAAAATATACCTACTTACACAACCGCTAGGTATTTACCATATTGGAATAAAACCTCACTAAAAATACCATGCATCATAAGAAATCTCATTAGTTTATAGAATATGAATGTTTGTCTAATGAACCTGGTACCTATTCATTTTATTTCATAACCAATAAAAAGCTTAGCCAATAATAAGAATCCTAATTGTTTTGACATCGAAATCATTGCAAAAAAGGATTTGTGTTCTAAAAGTAAGAAAAGTAAATAAATGTATTAAATATTTTTAATTCAATTAGTTAACTTTGGATTGTATGGTGCTAATCAAAGTTTTGGAAAGAAAAAAATATATAATATTTACTTGTGTAACAGTGGGATCATTCCGAGGACTCCATAGAGCAGGACCAGATATGTGAGGCCTGCATCGTTCGACTACGTGATGCATATGACTTTAAGAAGGTGGTCTTGGACTCACAGGAGGAGCTTACGAGGATGTTGGAAGATGGTAATATAACAAAAAATTTTGTATTTCATGTAATCTGTGCGATGATCTCCTTTAGTGTTTAACCGACTTCAAAAAAGGAGGAGGTTCTCAATTCGACCGTATATATGCCTTTTTTTTGTTTCTTGATACTACTGCCAAAGGTGTTGTAGGTTCTTTTTTTTATCATATTTTATTTCATAAATGCTTTTTTATACAGTGTTTGACCACTATCTCGCCTGGTGGTAAGCGATGATGCGTTCTACGATAGAGCATGTCGTCCCATAAGCAACCTATTCACTCAGGCCTTAAAGACACCTATTTCTTTTGTAAAATTCAATGCAGATTTAAGCTCCGTTCGAAATATGTCAAAAAATCTTTTGTCACAAAAGACTGGTTGTAAACCTAAAGCAAATTAAAAACAAGATTATCCTAGTTTGAGTCATTTAATATAACCTTTTTCCACAGAAAATCATGCCACGATAAAAGAAGAAAGACTTGATGAGCAACTCTTAGCGGAACAGGGAGGTGATGACGGTGATGATAATTTAAGTAACACGGAGACAGAATACATAACATTCAATAATGATACAATGGAGAGCATCAAGGAGGAGGCTCCGGAGATGGAGTATACGGACATTGAGTACTTGGAAGATGAAGTAGCTAATATAACCAAGGCTGAAGATAATAGCATGGTTGAAGATTACACTAAGGATAGTGCTGATTCTGGTAGGTTCTCTGTAGTTAATGTAATAAGATTCTGAACCGATAATAGCAAAGATCATCTTGCTCATTCTTGTCCGTCTTTGGAACAAACAAAAATTGTAAAGAGCTAATGAATACATTGAAACCGTTATACCTCATATACGAAAACGCGGCGCGTCGGACTTTTATCGCATCGACATTGCCGCTGCGGACTGCGTCTTCTTCAATGTACGACATACGCCCCACGCACTGCGTCTCGGTATACGATGCCTTATAGTCTTACATTTAATGTCCAATTGATTTAAATATATTTACTTTAATGTGAACACACTAATTTATAAATATGGAAGTTTCTTTGTTTGAATGTTTGTCCGTCAATCGCGCTGAAACTACAAGTGAAGAATACAGGTGAAGGATACTTTTTAAATGCTCCCATGGGATAAAACAGGAACCAGACGAAGTCGCGGGCAACAGCTAGTTTTAAATAATTTAATTTACACCTAACATTGGAGTATATTACTAACTTAAGCAACATCGGTTTCAGACTCATCCCAATCATACAAACCGGAACCAGCTAAAAGAAAGAAAAGGCCAAGGGTTTCCGAACCTGAAGATGATGATGATGAGAGTGGTAAACCCAAAAGAAAATGGCCACCAAAGCTCCCTAAATCTGAGAGACACAAAACATATAAACAGTATTCAGAAACTGATCTACGGAAGTGTTTAGACGAAATCCGTAGTGGAGCCCTAACGCCCGCTGATGCATCTGTTCAGTACAATATACCAAAGAAAACCATCTGCGCTAAAATCAAAATGAATTCTACAGGTTAGTGACGGGTTTCTTAATCTTTTTTTTTATTGTGCTTTCGATATGGATTGTATTTTGTTCGTAAAGTGTAATATAGTAAAAAAATTGATTTTAAAATAGTTAAATTCATTGTTTGGTCAATCTTCCATAAACATTAAACAAAATATTATCGGTATCGACAGCACTTAGTATTTAGAAGAAAACTGATCGTAATGTTATTACTATAAAAGCGATTCCATAATAACATTCGCTACTTTGAATTTTGTTATTTTTACTGTTAACTTACATAAATGATGAAAAAAAAAACATTTGATCAGTTTTCTAAACAGGAAAAGTGTTATTTTTCTTAAGTACTAGTCATGTTACTTAAGTTATACAGGTTTTATTCTTAGATATGCGTTGCTCTTCACTCGAAAGAAGGTTAGGTTTATGAAACTAACGGGATTGTTAGGCGATTATATGAAAATAATATGAAAAATAGTACTTTGCTGACTAACATAATTTTTTACTGAAATATTGCGATTGAAAAAAAATAATTTAATGGACCCAAAACATTGCCCTGAGGAACCCCATAAGCCATATAGTGAATCTATGGCTATATTTTTTAATAAGTTTGCCTTTTTTAAACTATTTTTTTTTTAATAACTATGTAACGTGAGTACCAGTAATAGTAACCATCAGTATTGTAATATTTTATACCAAAACATGTGTCCTACATTATCGAAAGCTTGTGTCGAAACTCAAAATTATTCATTTAATCTTTAAAACGTCCTTAAGTGAAGGAACATGAACGCATCTCTTTAAGAAAAAAAAACTAATAACAAACAAAAAGTAAAAAGCAAAAAATAACTATTATTAGTAACTTAACTGATAGATACCCACAAACTAAACTAAAAAACTAACATAAAAACGTTTGAAGTCGGCGCCATAAGTTTTAAACAAAATTATTCATCAAAACCTTAATAGATACCCAATATTAAGCAGTTTACAATTTTGTGGCCATTAAGTTATATCATTTTGATATGAACTTATGGCACCGACTTCTAACCTATCAGTAATAATACATAAATAGTTACTTCTTGCTTTTTATTTTATCATTTTTAGTGTAAAGCTACCTGCGTAGCATTGGAAAACAGGTATAGACCCGTTTTTATAATCTACATTGGTGCAAAGTCCTCATCAATACAAATTAATCAAGCCCAAACACAAGGTAGTTAATATAAACTGTTCCGAGGAGTTCCGTCGGCTCTATCATCAGGTCGACTCCAGACCCTTATCAAATTGTAGTGTTTAAAAATCCTTATTGAAAAACATAATAGACGCAGACGCATTACTCGTTCCTACAATTTTCCTAAGTTCCCTTCGGTTTTTCTTAGATTCCATCATAACATGACCTGACCTCTTGCAAATGGAACCCTCTTAGGAGTATACATATAACATTTCAAACAAAACAAGAATTTTGGAAATCGGTTCACAAATGGCGGAGTAATTGGTGAACAAACAAAAAAGAGTCTGACACTCACTTTCGCCTCACCAGAGGGAGTCATTAGATGATTCCCCCCCCCCATCAATAAAAAGCAAGCCTGTTTAGAGTGCAGCGCGCGTGTTCGCGTGACGGATACCCGTCACGAAGCATTTTTATATGGGTTCGTGTACGCACCCGCGTAACGCATTTTTCACTCTAAAGTGTGACCATTACGGTTGACTAAGCTAAGCTTACACCGAGACGCGACACTGCATGCACACTTTAAACTGTCAAACACCAAGCGGTCACCGGTGACCGCAACCTATTGTTCTATAATTGTGTCTACAAAACCGGTACTCGACGAGTTAAAAAAGAGCGGCTCATAATACAACTTTACTTTCTATGCTTCTTTTGAAAATGCTCGTCGCAGCGCGATATTACTGGTCATCTACAAAGATTTTTATAACCACTTCGTTCCGTATTTTAAAGCAGAGGAGACAAATTAATTTATAAAGTGTTACAAAGAAATCTAAGTAATCAAATAACAGAACACAACAATAACTATCTGCACGGGACGATTTCCGGCCACCGTAAGCACGGGCCTGCGGATGGCGAGCATGGGTGACTCGCCGCCCGACCAGGGCGCTGACTCTTGAAACCAATCTCAATGTCAATGCAAGTTCAATCCAATAAAATCTCAATAATTATTCAATGTCAAAACTATACAACCACAATCGTAGCTGTTACAATAGCATTCAGAGTACGGAATATAAAGACAAACTCAATATCATTTAGTTCATTCAATATCCAATGATGCAATGGGCGCTAGTGTTGCAACTCAAGAGTACGAAATTTCACAATACCAATGTCGATCGATCGGAATTGGATTAAAGAGAACCAGGCCCGAGCGTACGGCGCCGAACGTTCCGCGCGCGCCTCAAAAAGCCACCAGACCACCACGTATGGGTCCTATAGGGCTGATGCCGATATGGAGTCGCTGAGGACTTAACGGGTTGACGAGGCTTCGGCTCGAAGTGCAGGAGTGGTTTTTGGTCAGTAAGAGTCTGACACTCCTTCCCGCCTCATCTGGGCGGAAGAAGTTAATAGATGATTTTGTCCCTTAAAAAAACAAAAACTATCTGCACGGTTTATGATTGAGGTTTCATAAGTAGGCAAACAAGGAAATTTAAATAAAGGACATAATAAGTCTCTGGGGCAAGTGATGAAGACGATTTACCATAAAATATTTATTAATATAAATGTCATAAAAACATCGAAACCAATATATGACTTTCTTGTTGTAGATGTCCTGATTGACAATACAACGCAATCAAAATTGGAAAATGCAAAACGGCTAAGGAAAACGCCGACAATATTTAAAACTACCGCATTGGACGAGAAAACGTTAAAACAAATAGAAAGAAACAAATTAAAAGTAAAAGAAATGAAAAGGTTTCCGGAGGACGGTCCAATTGATGAAAAGAATGAAGTTAAAGATTTTGGGGTTAAAGTAGAGACTGCACTTAAACCAATCAAGAAATTACACATAATCAGAGCAGAACAAGTCAAAACAAGTCATAAAGGGATAGAATTCAGGAAAGGGACCAAGGAATCTGTAAAGCAAGAAATTATCGAAATGAAAAAACATAAAGATAACCTTAAAACTATACTACATAATTCTAATGCCACTGTAATAAGAGGGTACACGGGTCGCGGGTTTTATTGTAATTATTGTAAAGAACATAGACGATTGCCTTCAGATTTGAAAAAACATAATTTAGAAGCACATAGCTTAGTCGAAGACGTTATAAAGGCGAAATACGTGTCAGATCTATTCATTAGACTCGATATAACAAATTTAAAATGTAAAATTTGCAATCTAAACTTAGATAAATTAGAAGATTTGACTGCACATCTAACCAAAGTACACGATAAAAAGTACCACGCGGATTTAAAAAATTATTTCATTCCTTTTGTTCTAGATACAGATACGTTCCAATGCATGCTTTGTGAGAAAGATTTTAAACATTTCAAGTTACTCGTTGAGCATATGTGTGAGCATTATAGGAATTTTGAATGTTCTCACTGCGATCGTGTGTTTATCAATAGACAATGTAGGCGAACACATATGCGAAGACATAAAAAAGGAGTCTTTAAATGCTCTCATTGTCCTAAAGTATTTGATACTCGTCCATATAGGAGTGCCCACGAAAGAGTAGTACATACAATGTCGAGTAAGTCTCGCAAATGTTCCTACTGCAGCGAACGTTTCGGTACAACAGACTTGGTGCAAGCTCACGAAGTAAAAGTGCATGGGGTAAAACCATTAGTATTCACCTGCCAAGCTTGCAACAAATCTTACAATAGCCAAGGTTCATTGTTGAGACATAGAAAAAGCTTCCATTTGATGATAAGGCCCAACAAATGTTCATATTGCGAAATGGCGTTTTTCACCAAAAAGGACTTGGCGTCTCATACTGTAACTCATACGAAAATAAAGGCTTTTAAATGCCATATATGTTCGAAATCGTTTGGGACGAAATGTAGTTTGAATCAACATGTTAAGTCGCATTTAAATGATAGGAGGTTTAAATGTGATATATGTGACCGGAAATTTTTGTATATGACTTCTTGGAAAAGACATTTGATGAAGATACATAATACTATTGTATAAGTGTAGATACTGCGTATTAAATATTTTGTTCACCAAATGGCACTTCTGTAGCGTTATGTATGTTAAGGGAACAGTGAGTAAAGTTCTCTTAGATCGGACAAGGAGTATCCTCCGACCAGGTTTTTTTTAAGGGGGGAAAATCATCCAATGACTTCTCCCGCCTGGGTGAGGCGGGAGGGAGTGTCAGACTCTTACTGAATAAAAACCACCCCGTTCCTTTTCCTGCACATCAAGCCGGAGCCTCGGTTACCCGTTAGGTTCTCCGCGACATCCTGCGACCAGATTAGGTGATCGTGTCTGGCGGGGTTTCTGTCTGACATTTGTTCGTTGGGTCCGATGTAGGTTTTTTGTGACGCCATTCGTTGATTTGTTTTCATCGATAGTCTATGTGCGTAAACTGTCATGCTGTCATTTGACGTGTGACATGTGTCGTGACGTGTGACATGTTTCGCCACATCACTCCCTTCCAAGACCGGAGGTCGATCCTGTTGAGACGGCTGTCGATGTTCGATATGAGCGTTGCCAGAACCAGTGTAGTATGTCCCTAGTTCCAGTGAGTCGGAACTGTACCGCTGAATGCGCAGTGAGTCGGGTGAGTGGTGCAGGGTGAAACTCCAGTGAGTCGAAGAAATGTGTTCGCAGTGGTCCACGGTGAGTCAAGGAATAGATGCTGCGAGGGTGGGTTGCGTAGTGGCTGACGTCTGCGTTGACGGGAGGAGATGTCCTTCAGAATCGTGTGTGTGGTGACGCCGCAGGGAAGAACCAGGCTGCACATCTTCGTTGCACGCGATGGTGGTCTCTAATGAGGCCGAGGATGCTGGTTGGCTGCGACTTGATTACCGCTCAGCTGAGAAGTGATGGATGAGAGAGATGGCGATAAGGATGACAGTGCTGATCTGCTCCGTGAAAGTAGCTCCAATCACTTTAGGGAACAGAGAGTAAAGTTCCCTAAGATCGGAAAAGAAAGATCCTCCGACCAGGCGAGGTGATCGTGTCTGGCGGACTTTCTGTCCGACAGTTGTTCTTTGATATTTTCTATCCATGTTAATTCACATGTAAACTTCACATATGTGATGTAGGATTTTTGTGACGTCATCCGTTTGATTTCATCGATAGTGCATAAGCGTGAGCTGTCATGCTGTCCTTTGACGTGTGACATTTGTCGCCATATATGTTTGTCCAATAGAGGATAGATAGGCTTGTTCATTTATTGCGACCATCACTATAAGTCGTTATATTTATAATGTCTTTGCGTTTAAAGTTTAAGTAAACATTTGTTGTCGACTACATTTAATGTAAGTATATGTTGCATGAAACATCAGTGCGGGTATATTTTGTACTATGGTTAGGTCATTACAAAGGTGCGACTGAACGTGAAAGAAATAGGACAATGCCTTACAACTCGCATTAACTCCAAGAGCTGTCAGAGCATAGATCTGATAAAAATGATATATTGTCATGACAGTTCGCACTTTTGTTATGGCCCAACTATAAAACATGTTTGCTACATTACCGAAAGCTTGCGTTGAATCTAGCAACACTACTAAATCATAAACATTCCGCTGCAAAGAAACACTACTTTTACAACCTAGGAAATGAGAAGAGAAAATGCCGTTGGGGTTCCAAAATGAAACAGCAAAATTTATATTTCGTAAATAATCCCGAGCGAACGGCTTGCCCCGTTCCGCGCGTGCTTCAAAATGCTATCAGACCACCCCTGATGGACGACTTAACAGGCTACCGGGTTTCGGTTTGAAGCAGGAGTTGGAAAGAGACGGTTTTTAGTCAGTTGGAGTCACTCCCTCTCGCCTCATCCAAGGTGGGGGGCATCATTGGATGATATTCCCCTCTTAAAAAAAGTTTCATAAATGAACAAC